AGCTCTTAAACCCCTGAGGAGCCTGCCCTGCCCAGAAAAGGGCCTCTCCCCCCCATTCCCAGCTGCTCCTCCACCTCTCAGCCATATCTTCCAGCCTCCCATCCATGTGTGTGTTGTGTGTGTGCCCCTCTGTAAATAGCCAGCTGTTATTTATACATATATAATATTATATATATTTGGTCTGTTTGTAGTTTTATTACTAGAAGATTTTTCCGGTTGTCCTTAACACCCCTTCCTGAGGTTCCCGTCACCTTTCTTTTTCCCTCCTTCCCTTTCCCTCTTTTCCTGACCAGCCCCAAGTCCATTCATTTGCATCTGCTATGCAATAGTCCCTCTTCCTCCCCATCTTTCCTTGGATTTAGCTGATCCTTCCTCCTATCCTGGCCTTCCCCATACCTGCACCCCCCTACAAAAAAGACAAAAAGCAATTGTCCAGGCCTCCCTAGGTGAATCTTGTTTGCATCATTTGGGAGGCTCTGAGACTAGCCCCACTTTGTCCTAAGAATCCCAAGGTCTGGGAGCTTCCAGCATGTTAATTAGTAACCATTTGCATATTGACATCCTTTTTGGTTTCCTTTTTTTTCCATTGCTCCTCCATTCTTTCAACCTGTGTTTGTTTGTTTTTACACTAAGTAGTTAGTCTGCATTGGTCCTTGTATCACACTTTCATTTGCATGACATTACTTGTAGGTGGTGGGGAGCCTGGGCTTTTGGGGAGCCAGGCGGTTCTGGCCCCCAGAATCATCCCCTCCTAGCTCTTCTAGTCCAGTTTGCCTCCTCTACGCCCATTTTCCAAACCTCTTGTCCCCTCCTCTCCCTCCCCCCAGCTGGTGTGTAAGTGTCTTGGAGTTCAGTGTGTTATGGTGGAACAATAATTCTGCCACTTGGAGTTTCTCCCCACATTCCTGATCCCCAGTTTTCATGTGGGGCACTCAACTGACATTCCCATGGGGTTTCCCTCCCTCCCATCTGCCTGATCTTCGCCCTCCTCCTCCCACCAGAAGAGTTGGGGGTTGGCCACAATCTGATCTCTTTTGGGAGAGGTGGCTGCCACTGTGTGAGGGGTCATCACTGCCTTGGAGAGGAGTGGAGCAGGACAGAATCTCCCCAATTTCTGCCTGAAGTCTCCTCTGGCCCCACCCCTGCTGGGGTTTGGACTGAAAACCCTCCTCCCCAGTTTGGGAGGTGTTGCCTCCTTCACTGCCTAGCTTCTCTGACTGCCCCCCACCAAATTCAGGGCGGGGGTACTAGTCACTGCCAATGTGTGTGCGGGACTTGCTAGAAGATAGGGGTTCTCACCCCTCTTCAGGGTGATCAAGCCCAGAGAGAGCTGTCTCCTCCTTAGGTGAAGTGATAAAAGAAGGGTTTAATGTCTTTTTAAATGGCACAATTTTAGGGGTCTGAGGGTGCATTTCCTTAAACTGTCGCTGGAGGGGACCCCCAAAGTCTTTACTCCCCCACACTCAAGGTGTCTGTGTGGAGGGGGAACAGGGAGATCTAAGCTGTGGTGTAAAAGGGTAGGGAGAGATGCTGGGGGTGGGGGTGTTGTGCTCTAGACCCCCCCCATATTTTCCCAGTGTCCCCTGCCCCCCCTTCCCTCACCCCATGCCCCCAATTCTGTGGCGCATCCAGATTGTGAAAATGTACAATAAATGTGTAATGAGTAACTAAGTGCTGTCTGTTCTAAGATCTTTTCTTAACCAGTGGGAAGAGTATTGTATCTCCAGGTTTAACAGGAAAGTTGAGAAGATACGTTGGGAAAGGACTGACTGAGCTTTGCTGGAGGGCCGGACTTTTGGCAGGGCAAAGTATGATTCCCAAGGTGGCCATGGGGGATGGGGTGGGCAGCAGCACCAAAGGTAGTTAGAATTGTTGATGATCCTGGTATCTCACCCCAATGAACTCCGAGGTCTAGGTTTCCCAGCATTCCTCCCCTTCTCCCTTAGCCCTTGATTTAACTCCCAGACACTGTGCAGTTGCTCTTGCAGTCATTTACTCATAGGCTTGAAGTAAATAGCCAACTTCTGTGAAACATCTCTTCCCCTTTGTGTGTGACATAGTGCCAGCATCCAGAAGGGGGTTAATAAATACTTACTGAACAAATTGCCCCAGGCAGATCCAGATGAGTGTGGTGTGGAGCTGGCTATAGATGGCCTGTTTTCCCCTGCACTCTGTTCTGGACAGATGACTCTAGTCCACAATGTCCTTGATGTGGTACCCTAGTATTCCTGTCTCTGAGTGCTTAAACAGTGAATGGAGAGTGCTAGAGCAGCTCTGGAGGGCTCACTTCTCTGAGTTGCAGCATGAGGATTCAGCAGTATTGGCAACCTAGATAGTGTTTCCCAAACTTGTGGGCTCCTAAGAACTATCAGGAATGCTTTTTTTTTCCTTATTTTTTACACGCCTACAGCACCTGGTATTCCTAGATGGTCTCCCATCCAAGTGCTAACCAGGCTGGACCCTGGTTAGCTTCCAAGATCAGATGAGATCAGGCACATTCAGGGTGGCATGGCTGTAGACCAGAAATGCTTTTTAAAATAGATTTTCAGGCACCTTCCCTGGAGATTCAGCAGTACTAAGGGGCCAAGATGATTCTTAAAATTAGGTACACAGTTGTTATAATGTCTCCCATTTATTGAGGGTTTACTGTATTCCAGTTAGTGCTCAGGGCTTTTTTATATTTCATCTACTGAATACTTTCTAGGCAAGTTTAAGGTTCCTGTAGGCCCTAGGACCTGCCTTTATAGTGTCAAATCTTGGGTTTAAATCTTGGCCGTTACTGAGTAGTGTGTTAATCCAGATGGATTATGTAACCTTTCTGGATCTCGGTCTCATTTGTGAGATAGTATATAGTAAATGAGCCGGCCTCCTCCGGGTTTGTGAGAAGCGCCTGGCCCACAAAAAATAATTTAAGAGACTGCTACATCTTCATAGTCCTCATCCTCACGAGGCACTGAGGTCTGAAGACCGCATCATCCTAATGCTCGAACTTTACCAGCTTCAGGAAGCTTCAGGGAACCGCGGCCTTGGTCTCAGCGTGGGCGGGGGGTCTCGTCACACTTGGGATGGCTCGCCCAGATCTCGCCACAAAACCCCTAACCAAGGCCACCGCACTCACATCTGCGCCTGCGTGCAGGCCACATTCGCTGCGCCTGCGCAGAGTGCATCCTTGGGTATGAGTGTCGTCAAGGAAAATCCCCAGCTTCTAGGTAAACAAGTTGCCGCGTGAGACCGCCGGCACGTGTCCTCAACAGCTCCGAAACCTCTCAGCCTGTAAGAAGGTTTAGAGGGCTGGGCTAGCATTTGCGTCACTGATCTAGGCAGGTCCGGATGTTGCCACAGCCAATATGAACTTCGTAAGTGGGTGTGGGCGTGGCTTTCTGTCATTTCCAATCAACGCGCCAGGACGGCCCCTCCCGCACGTGGATATTGTCACTGTCGGTTGGCAAGCTGACCAATGAGATGATGGCGGCAGCAGGCGCCGCCAATGGTGGCTGTCTGAGGGCGGGGCAACCGCACGAGGCGCGGGGCATGGACCCGTGCCCTTAGGCCAATAAGCTTGAGGGGCGTGGCATCCCATCTGGTAAACGGGCCTGGAGCAGCAAGTCCAAGTCTTTAGGGTCCTAATGGGGAAAAGATTGGATTTTGCATGCTTGCAGAGCAGTGAGTGAGTACTCAGGGATGGGGGGAGATGAGCGGGAGTCGGTGTGAGTTTTTCTGGGGTGGTGTTCTGTCAGTAGGGGTATTAATGGAATGCGTGTGGGGGCTGGAGAGGGAATCCTGCAACTGCGTGATCGCTGCGGTGGGAGCCCTGATGATTGTGCGGAATAGAGATCGAGAACTCAGCGGTAGAGGGACGGGGGTGGGAGTCACTGACTTAGATCCTTCACTGCCCTAGGGTACCTAGACCACCGCCCTAGGGTACCTGGGGGGAGGTGCTTGGAAGCCCTCAGCGACATGAGCGAGCTGAGACTCCTGCTTCCAAGAAGGTACAGGGATGGGATCCCTGAGAGCGGGTAGGCGACATTCCAGTGCGTGGCTGCTTTTTGGGTATGTGCCTTAAGCACTTGAGAGAGGCAGGGGTACCTGGGGGGAGGGGCTTGGAAGCCCTCAGCGACATGAGGCTGGAGGGACACCCTGGTAGGGCAGGTGAGAGGATTCCAAAGGTTTGACATGGTGGTGGTTTGTGTGACTTTGAGCCAGTTACATCACGCTCTAGATGTCTTATGTGTAGAGAGTAGAAGTTGGGCCTCGGAGTCACCCTTGGGAGTAAAGGTATTAGATCCTGAAAGGGAGGATGGGTTGGTGCAGATCGGCTATGCACGTGTTTTCCTGAGCCCCTGGAGGTAAGGAGGAACCAATAGGGTGCTCTGGTATCTGTACAAACAAGCAGGTCTGTGGTAAAAGGACCTCTGGAGTAAGGTGGGAGAGTGAGGAAGTGAAGTTCCTAGGAAATCACTGGGGCTGGTAGCTGCTAGGATGAGCTCAAGGACTTCAAAAGCATGTGAAAACTGGTCTATTATGATTCAAAGAGTGTGGGGAGTGCAAGAAGAGGGATTGGATGAAGTCTGTGTTCCAGGCACCAAACTCAGAATCAGCTGGATATTTGAGAGACCCAGGTTCCCCAGTGCTGGGTAACACCTCATACATTCCAGAAGGCTAAAAAGCCAGAATGACAAGCCATTATCAAAGCCCAGGTTTGAACCCTGGGTTCTATTTGTTAAGAGCCTGAGAACATATTATGAAGCAGTATAAAGTTTAGTAACTTCTGAGCCTTAGTTGATTCTTGTGGAATAGGGATAATACCTATCTCACAGGATTGTTCTGGGGATTAAATAAGATAATGTACATAAAGTGCTTAGCATAATGTCTGGGTCATATTTTAAAAATCGTTTAGCTAAAACAAAATGCCTATAGGACAACAAAACAACAGTGATGAGGTGAGAGATTTATGTGAATGCTATAGTTGAGAACTATTCTCACATTCTCAAGCTTTTCGGTAAGTTTTGGTGGCTCCCTCCCCATTTCCCTCTTCCTGGTTCTGATCTTCAGGCACCAGCCCCAAACCCTCATTCCACTCTTTAATCCCTCTCCCAGGATCCAGGCCCCAGGATGGACCACTTGTTCCCTCCCAGTTTGATTTCCTCATCTTAGAACCATTCTCCTCCCCCTCGCTCCTCCCCCCTCTCTGCTGCCATAGTAACAAGAGATTCGGGCTCTGAAGGGGGCCTCTGAAGGAGCAAAGGTGCGTGTTCTCTTACAGAACCTGGGTCTCCAACTTCTCCGCCTTGGCTCTTTGGGATCCAGTCAGCAGATGTGTACAGTTTGGGAGAGGAGAAAAGCCAGTGCCAGAAGCTGTAGGAATAAGCTGAGGGGAGGGCAGATGCGAGTATGAAGAGAACCAGGCATAGGGACGAAGGGGGGGACCCTTTTCTTCTAATCCTCTCTCCAGGAATCCCTGGTTTTGGGACAGGACGGCTGTCGTTGTGTTGGGGGGAGGCGCCTGAGCTGGGAGCATGTCCTGGGCCACCAGCCAAGAGAACACGATGTTCCCAAGTGCGCTGGCCGCCGCCCTCTCGGGCTGGCCGCCTCCCAAACCGCTGCCTCTCCAGCCTCCCTGCCCCACATTCCCCAGCTGTCTTGCCCCGCCCCCTTCCTCCGCTTTGACGTCACCGCTGTCTCCCGCCCCCTCTTCTCCACTGACGGCAGCAGGCCTGGTTACTGTGGGGACCGTGAGGCAGGACAGCCAGAGAGAGAGAGCCCTGGGAGCAGTTGAGGGCTGCTGGAGCGATGTACTCTTTTGTCTATGCAAGAAATAGATATGGAGGTGGAGGTGGGACAGCAAGTACTGCCTGTATCAGGGGAGATCACACCTAAATCCCTGAGGAGAGCTGAGGACGAAGAAAAATGAAGTTTCCGGAAAATGAGACTAGAGATGGGGCCATAGTATGTGAGTTGGGGTGCATTTTCAGGGTGAGACTAAAATCCGGGCTCTCAAATCCTTTGTTTCCTGTGTTTTCTTGCTTTGGTTTTTCTAGGTTATCTTATATCCCCCACTCCCAGCTTTTCCACAGAGTCTTCTCCCTGCCCCCCCTCCCCAACGGGGAACACCATTGTTAAGGAAAGCTTAGGCCACGTGACAGTGAGGGGAGTGCACCCAAAACTGATTATGTCAGCATCAGCTTGGGGGCCTCTTTACTTGCCGCCCACATCTCCAGGGAGCCCTGAGATAAACTACTCATCACAGTCCTGGATGCAGGGGTCTGTGTAACTGCAGCTCTCCTGGGCCCAGCCTGGCACTTTATCCCCCAAATCAGGCCCCTATCTTTTTTTAGAATTCAGTGTTGTGCTCCCCTTTCTTTTAAAAAAGTTATAATTTCCTGTCCCTTCTCCAATGCTGAGGCCCCTTCCTCTCCCCTATCAATCCTTGTTAACAACAAAATCACCATTTTTATTGATCACCTACCATGTGTCAGGTTCTGTTCTGGGGGCTGGGGAATAGTGAAGGAGACAGATGATGTCCTTGGCTTTCTCTTTTCCTAGTGGTAAGGCTCTGAAGCCCTTGCCACTCCACTTTTCTCTGTCTAAACTCCCAGTTGGTCTTTTCTCTCATCCACTCCCTTTGTTCCCCTGTAGCCCTGACTTCCTAGCTCCCCACTTTTGGGGCAGCCCTAACTATAGGTGGCTGCATCCTTAGGAGAGAAGCACTAGTCATCCCCCGACACACCCCCAGACTGCCTGGAGACCTTTTTTCTGATTGGCCACAGAAGCACCTGCCATTGTTTCCTTTGACAGCCCTTATTGGCTCTTGTTGCCCTTTCTATTGTTTGTATCGCCCCCCACTCCATCATATGTGGACCCTCAATTGCCCTCCTCCTAGCTGTCCATAGGATTTGAAGTGTCAGAGGAAGGGGTTGGGTAAAAGGGATTTATTATGATGACAGGCTGGGGAAGAGAACCCAGGAAACGCCAAGTCAGGTTTCTGTCTGTTCGCCACCTCCCAGGGACCAGCCATCTCACCCAGCTTGGCCCACCTCCCAGGGTCTGCATTCCTTTTCTCCACCCCGAGGAAGGCCAAATTGTCCTGTTCTGCAAGGCTGGTCAGTTCGGAAAGTAGACATCTCTTAAGCACCTGCGGTGCCCCAGGCATTTTCCCGGAAGAAGGGCAGCTTCCCTTCCCCTCCTTCCCCTCCCCACCCATTCAATATCCACTATACAAGGCGTCCTACGCCCATTGGCTGGGCGGTGGTGTCTGGGGCCCTTCAGCTCAGTGCCAGCACCCAGATCCACGTGCGCCCGTGTGTGTGACACAGCCCTGACCTCAGTGGGGGCCAGTAGCCAATCAGGCGCCAGGACGAGATCCCCAGCCAATCCGGGGCGGGGCCTGTGGCTCTGCCGTCAGGAGGCCAATGAGGGGCAGTGCCCGGCATTATGCAACCCGCCTCCTGGCCCCGCAGAGCTTCCACTCTGCTGCGGGCTGCAACAGCGGCGGGCAGGCGGTCGGCGGACGCTCGCGCGGACAGGTAGGCGTCTCCGTGGCCCCCGCCACTTCCACTCCGCGCCGGACTGCCGCCACTTAAAGCCTGATGTACCGCTTTAGGTCCAGGCGCTCAGACGGCACACCAATAATCCATCTTCCTTGCCGTTGTCCACCCCCTCTGTGCCCCCGGGGACCCAGGTGTTCCTTGCAACCTTGCACCAGGTGTCTTCACTCCTGACCCGCTTATCTTACCTCCCGCTTTGCCTTCCGCTCCCAGCTCTCCTGGCCCCACGCGCGACCCTCAGCAAGCATGCCCTGTGCCGCCTTTCTTAACACTCTGGGGTCCCTGGCTTTCACCGCGCACCAGGACCCTCCAAGGCTTTCCACGGTTCCCTCTCCAATTCCTGGCCCGGCGCCGGCCGTGATGTCAGCCTGTTTCGGGCTGGAACATCCCGTTCCCGGCGCTAGTTCCTGCTGTTGGCTACAGCCTTCCTTTTTTTCCTGGCGCTCAGAAAATGCTCGGGGGGTTGGAGGTGTGGTTGAACTGTGAGTAGGGGAGGAACTATCCGCTGGCTGTTGTGCGTTCCTTGCTCAGAGCTGAGCGTGTTTGCTTCGGATGGGGGTGGGGTAGGGGTTGTCTGAAAAAGTAGAGGACTGAGAAGAGAGGGTTCCTGGGTCCCTGACAATGGCAGGTGCCAGCTTCGGTTCTGGGGATCAGGCGAGGGTGTAAGGGCCGAAGAAAGGCTGTGTCGTCTTGACCAGAATGACTGAGATCCAGGCGAGCGCCAGGCTGCTTTTGCGCGGAGGGCGGTGGCGATTGTGTTTTGCCCTAGAGAGCAAGGCCCAGGAGTTGGGGCCCCGTGGAAACCCTATGGGCCGCCCCTCTTGCGGCCACCGGGCTCTCAGGGGAATGGGACTGTATTAGAGGTGGACGACCCCTGGCCACACCCGCCAGTGTGGGAGTAGGTCGATCCCCGCTTCCGCCGGGAAATGGGGGAGGGGTCTGCCTCCCGCCCTCCTGTAGTCCCTCCAGCAACCGCTGAGCTCAGCTGATGACGTCGGTTTCCCTGGCGACTGCGACGGTGGCGGAAGCGCGTGGTGGGGCCGTGCACGTCCCCGCGCATGT